TTTACTACTCCCTCCGTTATAAATAATTATAAGATATTTTGACTTTTCTAGGTACATTACTTTTGCTATATATATTTAGACATAGCATATATTTAAATACATAGCAAAACTTATGTATAATTTGAAACGGAGGTGGCCCGTGCTAATAGTCATTCATGTGGGCATGCTTCTGACTTCTGAGTGACTTATTTTCTGTTTATCACACAGGATCTTGGTGGGTCATGACCAAGGGTGTGTTTCCATTTGGAACTACGAGACACAGGTACATCTCATCTCAGTATCTATGTATCTAACTATATCCTACGCGAGGCTACGATGATGACATTATAAATTATACATAGATACTTAGTCGATAAGATGCGTGATCGTCATTCATGCTTGCTTATTATTTGTCCGGCCGGCAGGAAATGGTGATGGTGCTCAAGGTCGCGAAAGCAGATGGTACATGTTGCCCTGTTAAGTCGGCCAAATTTATCGCTCGAGAGCAGTGGTTGGCAGCAGGGGATGGTAACGGATGGATCCATGTCTACGCCTACGCTACCAAGGCCAAGGTAGTGGAATTCGAAGCTCACGGTGGGCATCCTGTCTCCTCGTTGGCTGTTCAACCAACGGACTCCTTCATGCTCACGTCGTCTTCAGTCGCCCTCACCTCCACCAAGCTCTGGTACTGGGGCCAGGGCTGGAGATGCACTCGGGAGTTCGATCAGAACAGCGGCGGGGTTTCCCATCTCACCTTTAACCCAAGGGACGACACCACTTTTGCTAGTATTTCCATGGACGGAGACGTGAAGGTTTGTCGTCTGTTTTTGCCTCCAGTACACAATTTCTTATTCTATTTTTATTTAATAATCGAGTAATCTAGCAGTGAAGAAAGTGGCATCTAGCATGTTTTCAAGCATCTGTGTATACGTACGGTACGTGCATGGTTCCCTGGCAACGACATGAATTAATTCTCTGTTGCACAGGTGTGGGATACTCGCATCTCGCATCCAATCACCACATTGCAGGAGAGGTCGACTGGTGCTTGTTCTTTCTACACCGACACTAGTGATCGGCACTTCCTGCTTACTTCTGTTATTAGCCGGGCAGGCAAGAGCTGTGCAAGTGCAGTGGTAAGCGGGGCAAGCATCTACTATCCCTGTATAATATAATAAATTAATACAACAACAATAACAAAGCCTTTTAGTCCCAATCAAGTTAGGATAGACTACAGTTAAAACCCAACGTGAACCCCTAGTCACGGCTCAGACACGTCAATAGCTGCTTTTCAAAAACACTTCTATCCAAACAAAGATCTTTAGATATATCCCAAACTTTCAAATATCTTTTTACTGCCTCCCCCAAGTCAGCTTTGGTCTTCTTCTACCGCTCTCCTCACATTGATATCTCGACTTATGACTCCACAATATAATAAATTAATACACAGTACTATATATAGGGGTAAATGTATATGTACTTAAATTCAACATTATTATTAGTGGCTAATTGATGCTCCTTTAACTTTCGAAATTTATTATTTGAGCCTGCAGATACGGGATTTCCACACACAGAAAGTTGTTCACCAACTTGGCGTTATGGGGCAGTGGATCTTCGACGTTGCTTGCCACCCGACGCTTCCAATAGTGGCTACCGTGACACGGGACAGGCTTATTTATTTCTGGAATACCAGGACCTACAGGTAAATGGATCTCATGGGCTAACAATTAACCCTATATTTTGGATGGTAAATAGGAGAACTAAACATGGGCTAATCATAGCCTAATAAGGGCTATGGATGCTAATAGGTGTAGAGCCCTTTAGCTTTTTTTTCGAAAACGCAGGAGAGCTGCGCTTCTTTGTATTAGAGAGAGAAAGAAAAGGTCCTCGTGTATCACACACATCTCATACGGGGACCAAATATTAGAGGTTGTTAAGATAAATTACAAGATCACCTTGAGAGCCCTTTAGCTTTTGTTACCCTATTACCACAAGATAGACTTTGTTTTGGCCTAGGATCCGAAATGCACTAGACCTTCAACATGAAGATATATATATATATATATATATATATATATATATATATATATATATATATATATATATATATATATATATATATATATATATTCATATCAGTTCTATTTGCAGATGCTAAAATAGATGTATCTGAATCCATGTCGGTATTTTTAGAAAAATAAATGTGAAATATCTTGTAGTTATCTAATGGTTGTCACCACATTTAATATAGGGTTGAGAAAATTGTTGAACTTAAGGAACATCCCATTCGAGGCATGGTGTTCACTGGCACTGACTTAGCAAGGTAACAATTTTTTTTATTAACTTTCTTTTTCATCACTAAATTCTAGCTAAGCGCGTATAGCGGCTTGCCTGCAGCAATAATAATATGTTGTGGACATGCAAGTATGTTACTATTAAGCAACTGAACCATGAAAATAAAGTACCGTCGTCTTATGTCGAAGTTACAGAAGTGTACATTTGGAATGTATAATTTGATACATACTTGTCTTAAAAATGGTTCCAATTAATAATATCCTCGTTTATATATAATATATGTTTACAGCCATATATATTACGGACCAAGCTATCTAGCTTTAGAATTGTACGTCAAGTGTGGTCTCTGCAATGAACTGTAGTTCATCCTCAACTCGATCAATTAATTGTTCTTAGACTAGCTATATATCTGTCTGCTGCATGCTCTATATATTATTCTATTACCTTGTTGAATTAATTCCTTCTTCTAATTTCTGAACTTGCACTTATGTAGGCTCGTAGTCCCATGTAGCAAAGGGGTATCGATAGTGGAACTCGATCAATTTGCAGCGCTAGCGACGGATCTATTGACAATGGTGGTTGGAACTGATTAAGGCCTCCGACTCCGATCCGGCCGATCGATGTGTGAGTGTGACCCTGAGCAACCAACACTCATGTGAGCTAGACAACGACAAAAAATATTCATCACAACGCATGGGATTATTTATAGAAATTCGGCTTTAATTTATTCTCGGCACAAAACATGCCACTCATGACTTTCGATCGGATGTGCCATTATAAAAATATACATGTACCTTAATTGTTTTGAGATCGGAGTAGTAGTTGCTTGATGATACTCCCTCTCCGTCCTACGATAGAAGAAGGCGTAACTGTTTTCTTTTCTCTAGTCGAATAGAGGGTCCTAGGATAGACACAGGCAGCGACGTCGTCTAGGATGGATTTTTCTATTCACTCAGCCGGCGGCGGGGCGGCGTCCTCCGGCGGCGGCGCCATGGACGCGTTGGGTGGGCTTGGCATGTAAGGCCCACGTCCACGTGGAGAAACGTCGGTATGCAAATGGGTGGAGTCGCGGGCCTGAGACAAAACGGGAGAAGGGATGAGTAGGTGGGCCGGGCCAAGTTTAGGTATTGGGTAGGTTGAGGCCCATCTGGGCTTGAATTTATCCAAACTCACATATCAAAAAGTATTCCCCCAAAAAAAAATATCAAAAAGTAACATGCAACTAAAATTTGGAACGGTTGGCTTAAAAGACAACCCAAAACACTTCACTTGACTTATGTCTGGACTCTGGTGAGCAGAATAATACACACACAAGTGTTTGTTGAATCAATTAAGCAGTCGCATCAGGCTGCATCATGGCCCCCTGAACAGACAACAGCAGCAAAAAGAACAAAGAAAGAAATGAGCCAATAATTGCAGCCCAGACTAATAAATAAATAAAGGATAAAGCAATGCAATTTCTTGAAGGTTGTCTACAAACATCGTCTATGTTTTTTCAAGTTAACATTAACAATATCCACTTTAATTGTTCTTATACTAGCTATATATCTGCCTGCTGCATGCTCTATATATTACTAGTTTTTCGGGCGCGCCCATGCGCGCGATCCACTGGCCACACGTATTTTTTGGAGAAAAAAAAGATATAATCAAAGTTGGGCTGTATTTTGATTTGAGAAAAATCTGAGGATGTTTTCGCAAAAAACGGTGAGAGTGTCTGGGGAGCGCGAGTTGATTTTCGATAAAGTGGATGTCTTTTTTGCAAACAAACCAGTGCCCATCCGGTCTGGACTGAGCGTTGATTTGGAAATAATATGAGGCGTTTTTTGTAAAAAATTCTGAGAGGACGTCTGGAGCGCGGGTTGATTTCCGAAAACTTAAAGGGGTTTTTCGTAAAACGACCGCGGCTCGCCCGATCTGGGCCGTCCGCACGGCCGATCGAACGGCCGCGAAAAGCCGACGACGTGGCCACCCTGAAGCCGCGCCGTGGCCACACCAAATCATATCTTTAGATTCTATTACCTTGTTGAATTAATTCCTTCTTCTAATTTCTGAACTTGCACTTATGTAGGCTCATAGTCCCATGTAGCAAAGGGGTATCGATAGTGGAACTCGATCAATTTGCAGCGCTAGCGACGGATCTATTGACAATGGTGGTTGGAACTGATTAAGGCCTCCGACTCCGATCCGGCCGATCGATGTGTGAGTGTGACCCTGAGCAACCAACACTCATGTGAGCTAGACAACGACAAAAAATATTCATCACAACGCATGGGATTATTTATAGAAATTCGGCTTTAATTTATTCTCGGCACAAAACACACTACACACGACTTTCGATCAGATGCCATTAACAATATAAATGTACCTTAATTGTTTTGAGATCGGAGTAGTAGTTGCTTGATAATACTCCCTCCTATCCTACGATAGAAGGCCTAACTGTTTTTTCTTTCCTCTAGTCCTGGAATAGAGGGCGGCTCTGTTCACAAGCATGCAACATTGTTGGCTCCCACTCTGATTTATTTGCACGTAGTTTTCTTCTCTAGAAATCATGGCAGTGAGTGAGAAGGGAAAATGACAACATCAAATAAACCAATGAACAAAACAGCTAGTAGTAAGACAGACCAGGCATCCGCAGCCGCAGCCGCAGCCGCAGCCCTGATGATCAAAATAAATATGCATCACTTGAAAATTGAAAACAAAAGGGGCTTCTGCAATATGCACCAATCATATTAGTCCATCAAGCCCAAAAATAGGCTATTCTCATGTTCCTCCGTTAGGCTCACCATCGAGCTCGTTTCTTTTCCACCGAATATCAGACTTCGTAGAGACGTGAGCTGTTGGCAGAGGGACATGGTAAGAACAGAGGCGTCCCTAATCTCAAGGCAAGTCAGTCGAGACAAGACCTCACAGACCCCTTGCTGCTTCAACAAAAGCTCCATCAATGGAGGTAATCTGGACGAGGCACCTACTGTGAAGGACGTCAGGTTTGTAATGAACTGGAATCCCTCGATGGAAGCAAGTGACTCACAATCTCTAATTTTTAACTTTGTCAGTGCCGTGCAGTATCCCAGCTGTAGAGAAGCAAGCGAGTCACAATCTCTAATTTCTAACTCTGTCAGTGCCGTGCAGTATCCCAGCTGTAGAGATGTCAATTCTGGACTTTCCCGTACTGCTAGTTCAGTTATGGCAGGGAGACAGGATAGCAGACGGGACTGGACATTGTTTGTGAGATTCCGGATCACAAGTCTGGTAATTGACGGAGGAAGCAGTCCAATCTGATTTCCACCCTGTTCTTGCTCCTGTAGCTTTGGATCCCGCTCCCATGCAGCAGATAACGCAGGAGTCAATTCTATTTCCAAGCTTCCAAGAGAGCTGAGCAATTGCAAGCCCTCCAACGCACCTAGCTGTTGACAGCTCGAAATTGTCAAGCTTTGAAGAGAGGTGAGGAATTGCAAGCCCTCCAACGCACCCAGCTGTTGACACCTAGAAATTTTCATGCTTCGAAGAGTGGTGAGGAATTGCAAGCCCTCCAATGCACCAAGCTGTTCACACCCCCAAATTTGCAGATCCTCCAAGGCCGTGCACAAATGGAGCTGTACACACTTAAAAAATGGGCTATCCCTGAGTCTCAAGTCCCTGAGGTAGGCCAAGCCTTTAAGGAAGTAGGACTGCAAGTTTTCTGGGAGATGACTAAGAGAAAGCACTTCAAGTGACGGTGGGAGTAATGCAACATCCATGTTACTAGTACCATCGTCTTTTGTGCCGTTGACCAACAACGAACCCAGCTTTGGGAAACCATCAATCTGTAGCTACTCAAGAGTGGTGAATCCTCCGAAGCCTCCCTTGCCACCATAAAACCCCAGATCTACACATCCAGAAATAGTTAGCTGCTTTAGAGAACAGAGGATGTTAGATGGCACTTTCAGTAGTGTTTGGTCTTCTGCAGACAACGCCACTGCTGAAACCAAACTGCTGCTTCCTTCCGGTTCTGTGGGTTGACCAATCGATAACCATTTTATTTGGGGACAGTCATGGAGGCTCAATTCCTCAAGGGACCGCAAATGAGGAAGCATTTTAGTCAGCCACCCCCCTGCTATGCCGGAAGAAGAAATATTGAGATGTTTGAGAGATGGGAGGGCAGGAATGGTTTCCGATGCAGCCTCTAACGTGATGGGTGGCTTGAGCAAGTTAGAGCAGTTGTGTATACTCAAATACACTAAACAGGTGAGCTGGCTGAAACTTGCACTTGAAATAGAAATCAATTTTGGACAATTCCCTATGCTCAACGATGTCATGCCCCTAAGATTATGGAATGCTAAGATCCGGTCATCCAGCACACTCAACTCACTGGATGCTATCTTGAGCGATATGCTATCTATATTTATTGATAGTTTTCCTTTGATGGAAATTTCCCGTATATGAGCAGAAGGTGGGAGAGGACGCGAGACCATCATCAGACTAGGGCAGTCTTGGAGGATGAGTCTACGGAGACTAGATAGATACACATTCTGTTCCTCCTGTGAAGGCGAAGATGGAGGAGCCGTCAGCCCGCTGCATCTTTCTAGTCTTGGCATTGTAATCAACTCCAAGTTCTCCAGAGAAGGAACTGACAACTCTCTCACAAGATGCAGGTCCATTAACTTCAAATCCTTGAGTGCCCGCATTCCTCCCAGTGGAAGGATTTCCCAGTTCCTGCAATATCATTTATCTAAGTGTGCCAAAAATTGCAAATGGGTACTAATACAATACTATTCAAGCAAAATTAAAGAAGAATACTTACATTACACGAGGACAATAACAGATGGCCAGTTTGCTGAGAAACGGAAACCATGACTGCTGCTCGGCACGGAAAGAAGAGTAACTATGAAAAATAGTAAACTCGTTCAGTTGAGGGCAGCCCTTGATGATAATTACCCTAAGTTTGGAGGTCAATTCCACCCCATAAGTACCAAGACATTTTTCCAATCTTGGCATCTCAATCAAGACCAACTCTTCCAAAGAAGGAATTGAAATTTCCATCAAGTTCCACATCCTGATCATTTTCAGCTTCCTAAGGAACGGAAGCAATTGGAGAGGAAGAATTCGCCATTCATTGCAATTCTCCAAATGAAGTATCTGCAGCATCTTAATAAACATATTACCAGCAAGCCAGGCTGGCGAGTTAACACCATTGTACCCAGTTATACGTAGACTTTTTAGGTTCTCATGAGGTTGAAGACCCTCAAGCACATCTTCTGTTTTTCTAGCTGTACAAGGATCAAGGCCCACACTGATATCATTCCATGATAAGGATAACTCTTGCAGATACTCTTTGTCTATCAGCCTAGCTCCACTGGCCTGTTCTTTTGTCTTCACATTTTCAAGTTGAGAAATTTCAAGAGTTAAAAGCTTGGTCATGGATCGAAGTTGTCTTATGTCAAATTCATCAACACTTCGGACCTTCAATTTTAGTCCTTGAAGAGAGGTCAACTTGCCAACACCAGCGATTTCTGAGTGCACTTTCTCATGACCAACAATACTCCGTAAATTAATGAGGTTATTCATACTGGTAGGTACAGAAATATTGCTTCCAATGTCGACGTTGAAGAATTGAAGGTGGTAAAATTTTGTCAAAGCTTGAGGAAGAACAATATTCTTTTCAAGGTCTATATTTTGCCAAAAATATGTGGTGGAGAAGACACCAATAAATTCAAGGTAGCGAAGATGACACGGGTTTAAGAAACTAATTGTAGAGCCGACGTCGTTATGTGTCACATAAATCCTCACGACTCGTAAACTTTTTGACTTCATGCATAAGGTGTGTAGGAGCCTTAATAAATGTATGCTGCTTCTGCCGAAAACTATCAGGGTCCTCAATTTTTCTGAGGACCCAATATTCTCTAGTATGTTCTCAAACTTGTCACAAGGGATACTGTAATGTCCATCTTTCTCATAAGCAGTGGTTATGATTGACAAGTGGCGAACACTTGGTTTAATGGCCATAGATTTGGATCCATTTATAGTGGCATACTCAGTTAGCGAAACCATCTGAGCCATTTCATGCATTAGGTCATGCATGACATAGTCCGAGTCAACCTTTTGAAAAAAGCCTAAATCCACTAAGTTATCCAAATATTGCTTCCCTGTTTCCTCCAATCTCTTGGTAGGGTCTTCACACTGCACAAAATTTTGTGATATCCAAGCACGGACCAAATTTTCTCCATTAATTCTATAGTCCTCTGGAAACAGAGAGCAGTATGAGAAACACTGCTGCAGGTGCACCGGTAAAAAATCATAACTGAGCTTCAAGATAGGTAAAATATCATCAGTATCTTCTTGAAGAGATTTCCATTTGTTTTGAACTGTCCTCCAGTGCTCGTAGGTAATATCTTTGTTCAAAAGAGCACCAACACTCCGTGCAGCTAGTGGACAACCCTTTAGTGCTTTGACAATATGCTGCCCAATGGACTGCAAATTAGGATGGCCCTCATGGCTTTCATTACCAAATGCACATGCCTTGAAGAACAGCCAAAATTCTTTTTCATCCAGACCTTTCACTGATACCGAATCCATTGTTTCTATCATTTTTGCAACTGATGGTCTTCGAGTTGTTGCTAAAATCATGCAGCCAGGTACATGATTGTGTTTTAGTGGAGCTAACAGACTAAACCATCCTCTCCTGTCCTTTTCCTCCCACATGTCATCAAATACAAGCAGGAACCTTTTGTTTTCAAGATTCTTCAGAAGGATATCCTGCAGCACGTTGAAGTTGGTGATTTTTTCGAACTGTTGTCTATCTGTGCATACATGCTCCAAGATCTCGCGCGTTAGTCTCATTGTGTCAAAGTTAGTGGAGACGCAAACCCACATTCGCAGATCAAAATGTTTTTTGATTCTTCGATCACCGTAAACAAATCTAGCAAGTGTCGTCTTCCCAACACCACCGATGCCAACTATAGGCAGAACTCGTAGATCACTAGATTTCCCTTTGATTAACAGATCTACTATCTTGTCCCTCTCCGTATCCCTTCCGTATACCTTGTCTTCAACTGGAAAAGAAGTTGTCAGGCGCGTGTTCCTGACCACACACTGACTCTGGTTTGCCATAGTAATGGGGCGTGAGATCTCTAGCTGAAGAACCTCCCGCACAGAACTGCGAAGTTTACCCAAATGATCCACCATCCCCCTGATCCTCTCAGAAATGGTGCTATAAGTTGGCTCTTCCTCTCTCTTCCTTTTTCTGTCACGTCTGCACCAACCAACAATTCGGCTTGTGGCACTAGTACATGCTAGTTGCAAAGATGGAGTGGAAGAAGACACAGAACTCTCCTCAGGATCAGTACAGCCTTCCCCTGCACAAGCAAGAGAAACATGGAATTTTTAAGAGGCACTCAAGCAAAAGCAGATATTACCCCGAAATCACTAATAATAGTTAAGACAAGTTAAAGCATGTCAAAAGAAATCACAACTAAGAAAAAAATTAACGCAGCAGCGGACTGATAATTTTTAAGAGGCAGAGTAGAGGTAAGGCAAGAAACATGGAAGACGGGTACAGAACATCGATGATCTGAGTGAGGTACCTTGTTCGATCTGTTGCTGGAGGCGGTAGTAGTCGAGCTCGTCCATCACATCTTCGGCATCATAAAGCAGCTCTTTGAGATCATGAAGGGACCGGGCCAGTGGCTTGTTCTCAATCCTCCTCCCCTCGGCTGCAGCAAGCACCATCTCCACGTTCCTCATCTCAGACTTGAGGTTCTCCACATCGTCGGCAAGCCCGACACCACGAGCCCAGGCTTCCATTTTCTCAGTGAAGAAGCTCCCAAGGATGCTTTGCACCAGCCAGCAGATGGCAGCATCCACCACAGCTCCCACCACCCCCATCTTCTCCCAGTGCACCTGAAGCATGCAAGCAGCAGGCCAATGGAGGGAGAAACCACACAGATGGATTCAGAGGAATGAGTTGGTGTGGTATGCTGAATGGTTTTGGAGTGTACAGGACAATGGATTGGAGGGTAAAGTCTGGGTAGCTGGGAGTCAAGTGAAGTCTTCGGGCACACCAACAGCTACATTTTCTTGGGTCCACACCCACAGTGAGATTCCCTTGCAGGCTTGCGCTAATCTGGCAGTGGACAGCAGAGGTAAACAGTGAACGGTACCTGAGGCCGTCCCCAACGGCCGCCTTCAAATCGATAGCGAGAAGAGGACGCGGGGTGTTTGATACACGGGCTAAAGTACATTAGATAATTATAAAATTAATTACATAAGCCACGACTAATCAACAAGATAAATTTATTAAATCTAATTAATTCATAATTAACCTATGTTTACTGTAGCATCACCTTCGCTAATCGTGCACTAATTAGGCTTAATAGATTCGTATTGTGAATTAGTCTTTATTTATATAATTAGCCAATATTTAGTACTCTTAATTAATATAAAGATACGACGTGGCAAGAACTAAATAAATTTTAGTCTGCGTGAACCAAACACCCTTCACTCAGTCTGGTCGCTCGTTGGTTTCAGTCAGCCCAAACCAGTCAGCTATCAATATTTTTCTCTCATAATAAACCAGCCCCTGTCAATCTAAACCGATCAAAAACCTGTAGACGGACTACCTATACTTGATGACGAAAGAGGAGTAGAGTGTCAGTGACTGTGAGCTTTTCGGGTTGCGTGAGCCTGAAGCTTGGTGAGTCGCTAGCGATTTTTGGGTTCTCTCTCGTCCACGCGGCTGGTTTAGTTGGCGAAATTTTTCTGGGAAATAAATTTTTCTGGAAAATGATACTATAACACTTTCGTTATTATTTGATAATTAGTGTTCAATCATAGTCTAATTAGGCTTAAAAGATTCGTCTCGTGAATTTCATCTAAACTGTATAATTAGTTTTATTTTTTATTTATATTTAATGCTTCATACATACGTCAAAGATTCGATGTGACAGGAAATCTCAAAAAAATTTACACAATTTTGAAAACTAAACAGGCACAAGGTGGAATAGAATATATTTTTGGGTTCTCTCTCTCTGGGGACGCCCTGAAGAACGCGTACCGGTGGGGCACTGTCACCGCGTGAAGCATGTTACCTAGCAATTCACGAGCCTGCAGTTGCCCAGCAAGTGCGGGCGTGAGACGGAGAGTGCCCAGCAACCTGGCAGCGGAATGCTGCTTTTGAATGCAAGCATCATTTATCACTGAATTCCTGTGGCATACCTGTATGACTCTTGTCACTTGGTTGGCAGTGCCTGCATGAACACTGCTCTACGCTCATGGTCAGTGAGGTACGAAAATGGGCTGTTAATGAACTCGTTGACAGACTAAAAGCTCGGAGATGGATTATGATGTCAAGGCAAACTGATAAGCCAGCTGATAAGACAGCTGAAGCTGTTTTGTTGTGAGAGAAAAATACCATAGATTATAGTTAATAAACCGGTTGATAAGCTCGAACGAATAGACCAATAGCCTCCCTGATGCGAGGTGTTGAAGGTTGCGCTTTTATTCTGCTGCAAGATAATTGGGGATATAAGTAGCTCCGTCAAGTGAAACAGCCAACAGCTGAAGATGCTACTGGTGCAATTTGATAATCAAGATTAAAGAGTGATCAACGGAATGCAGAGTACAGACAGAGTAAAACACCCTTTTATTATGCTGCAAGATAAAAAGGGATATAGCTCCATCAAACACCCTATAAGTGCACAGCTGCACTAATATCTCAACAGGCATTTTTTCTTGTGTGGCTGTGCAGTACACTCCTCTCTGCTAACCTTGGGTACAAAATAGAAATATCTTCAATTTTACCACTCTCAAGTATCAACTCAACGTTGCCCAATGATAATGACGGCCACTTGAGTGAATGACATGTAGGTCCACCCGAGTCAATGACATGTGGGCCAGTGGCCTCCAAACACTAGCCCCTGATGTCACCTACTCACCTGCCCACTGCTAGTTGTCGTTGAGTGGATTGTCATAGAGCCGCTGCCTGTGATTCTGCAATGCAGTTTCTTGGAAGCTGACTGAGCGAGCTTGGACAATAGGCTGTCATTATCTTTCGTCCTTGAGGTACTTCCCCTCTAGCCTTGTTTGGTTTGATAGAGATTACAGAGGGTTAAAAGGGCGCTACAAAGAGATCCAAGAGAATTAAACCTCCTATACAAGTCAAAATCTCCCTCGTCCCTGCGAGGGGATTAACCAAAAACGCCCAGAGGTATTTCAGTATCGCAATACGGCAATAGGCAGGGCAACGCAGTGGACTAATTCTTTGTTGCAGCGGTAAACAGGAAACAAGACAAGACCTGAAGAAGACGTATCACTGTTCACGCCCAAAAACAAGCGCGTGTGCGTCAGCGGAATGAGGATGAGATGGAGGGAGGCAGTTCAAGAGCTCAACACTTGAATAAATTATCTGGCATCTGGCAGTGGAGCCGTTTTCGTGCGGCTGGCCGGGGAGGGGGCGCTGGCACCCCGCTCTGGCACTGCCCTCCTCCTCCGCCAGCGATTAACTACCAGTCTCAGACACAGGCAGTGAGGTCACCGAGAATGGAATGTTCTGCTCACTCGGACGGCGCCAGGGCGGGAGACGGTGGCGGCGGCGGCGGCGGCGCGGCGCCCTCCGCCGGCGGCGACATGGAGGCTTTGTGTGGGCCAATTCATGGCAGACAATGTTGTTCGGCGCTCTCGACTTGGGCTGGAGCTCCAGTTGGATCCACGAGACAAAGCGAGTGAAGGGATGGGTAGGTGGGCTGGGCCAAGTTTATGTGTTGGGTAGGTTTAGGCCCGTCTGGGTTTGAATTAATCCAAACTCAACGTATCAAAAGCAACATTGCAACTATTTTTTTGGAACGGTTGACTTAAAAGACAACCCAAAACACTAGAGATGAGAATAATATACACGCAAGTATTTGTTGGATCAATTAAGCGGCCAAGTATACTATACCGTGGAATTTTTCAAACCCAAATCTTTCACTTGGCGACCGCATCAGGCTTGAACCGTCTTTGATTTTTGAGGTCAAGCCACGTAACGAACAGCAGCAAAAAGAAAAAAAAAAAGAGAAGAAATGAGCCAATAATTGGAGCCAAGACTAAATAGAGGATAAAGCACAATGCAATTTCTTGAAGATTGTCTACACACATCGGCTATATTTTTCATGTTAACATCAATGATATCCACTGATCAAACACATGCACATCAGAGTATTAATGCCACAGCAGAAACAAACATAACAAAAGACGGGGGCTGAATTTGGTAGCAGCAACCGGATCAAATCCGATTCATTTCCATTACCTAATGTCCTAAAGATCAGCACACCAATGAAAAGGGAAATGTCAACAGCAAATAAACCAATGAGCAAAACTTGTACTAGTACAAATAAATACAGAAGCACAAGACAATCGAACAAGTAGCTGCCATCCAGGGAAAAAGGTCATATACAGCACCGATAAAATATGCATCACTATGAACATGGATTTCTGCAATCTGCACCAATGGCAACATTGTACTAACTACTATACCTCATAACTCAATAACCACCTTTCACAATGCAAACTTGCAAAGGCGACCACATCAGGCTGCAAACTTGTACAAAAAGGAAGCTTGCTTACAGGCATTGTGCTATTGGAGACGAGTGTAGAGGTGTCACAGGAATTATCATTTCTTTGCACCATTTCTTTCCATGTTATTGCATTCCTTTTTGATATGGAAAGGTGCATGATGAACCTTGTTAATGTATCTAACAGTAAACTTTTTAAATGGGTTGTGGAGCTCAGATTAATAATTCAAGTTAACTACTATTACTCTCATTTCATTTCTTGAGAATAAGATATACATCAATTTTATTAGATATGTACCTATGGCAAAAGAGTTTGTTTCCTGTCCAATATGTCTGTCTTTACACTTAAGTTGCTACACTACCAAAGGGCTTGTATAATCTGTATTGAGATGGAAGTGGACATATGTTAAAAAAGTAATGTGTTCAATTAGCAATTGCTAATATGTTCTAGTATCGGTATATGGCTTACTGGACCGAAGAGAACAGCAGCAAAAGAAACACAAAAGGAGAATAAATAATCGCAGCCCAAACTGTAAATAAAGAATAGAATAATGGAGACCCTTCTAATTAACAGCAATCATACGTGGCTGATCTAAATATCCACATTGGACGATTAATGGCACAACAGAAACAAACATAAGAACATGTAGCAGCAGGTGTCTCCAATCCAATTCATGCCAGTGGGAAGGGAACATGGCATCGACAAATAGACCAACGAACAAAGATAGTAGCAAGACAAACTGGACAGCTGCGATCCAGGGGATGCACAAGAACGAGAAAAAGGTGATATACGCCCCTGATCACAATAACCATATTGATCAAGGCGAAATGTCTCTATGACACCTGCCCGCGCAAATATTTGAGCCAGAGAGCCAAGACGGTAGGTGCAGCAGCAGCACAGGCAGAGGCAACACGCCATGTACAACATCTCGTCTGCAGGGCGATTAATTAACTAATTATTACTACTTTATATATACTGTATAAGCGAGAGGAGGTGAGGGTGCCAATTTATTCTCAAGACAAAGCGTACCTTGGAAATAACTGCTGAGGTTAATACTTCACAGTCTCATCATCTCCCTTCTCCGTTGCTCCCATTCTTCGATAGCTCCTCGCTGCAATTGTGCACCTCAAGTCTACATGAAGTGTCCATTTCTGGCAGCCTGCCTGAGATGCTAGGACAGGAGTTGATGCTCAGGTGCTCGAGGGAGACAAGGATTCGCAGATCTGCAGGAAGTAACAGGAGGTTTGGGTAGCCCCCAAAATAGAGCCATTGGAGGGAGGTGAGCAGATGGAGTGCTCTCTCCTGTTCCTTCGTTAGGCTCACCATCAAGCTCGTTC